TCTGGGCAGCTTTATGAGAACTTGTCTCAAATAAAAGATACAAAAGGACCTAAGGTTATAGCTCAGCAGTAGGGCTTTTGTCTAGCATGTGCAAGGCCCTGGATTACATCTCTAGTACTGCAAACAACAGCAGCAACAAAACTCTTCCTGTGTCTTTTTCTGTCTGGCCAGTTGTCCTACTAGACTGTAATTGCCTCTGGGCAGTGAACATGTCTGGCTTGTACATCTTTACATCTGTATGTCTACCCTAGCATCTACTGGACAACTCGGAACAGATATTCTACAGACCCCCTGAAAAACACCAGAGACCAAGGTGAGACTTATTGCAACAGAAAGACTGCCCTCCCATAACCCCGCAACTATTTCTCTCTGTTCCCAGTCTCAGTTAATAGTGCATCCACCCAGCTGCCAGGCCAGAAATCTTGGAGTTATCCTAGATTCTTTCTTATCCTCCCACACCCTATCATTGAAGTTGGTTCTACCTTGTGAATTGTCCATATATTGGTCCCCTCCTGCCTTTGCCGAAGGCCACTGCCCAACTCAGAGCCTTACCATTGCTCTAGTCTCCTTGTCTTTGTTTTTTTGGTTTTTGGCTTTGCCTAACCTCTTCATTCCCAATCTATCCTTCCCCTACAAATGGAGTAACATTCTAAAACACAAATATAATTATGTTACTCCCTGTTTAGACCATTTCAGTGCTCTTCATTGGGGTCTGGATAAAGTCCATGTTTGTTAAGATGACCTAAAAGGTCCACTATAATCCATCCCTTATCTGCAGGGGACTGCTCCAGTCTGTCTGGCATGTGCCTCAAAGCACACGCTGTGACACCTCCTTATCCTTTTTATGCTTTCTCTTTTGCCCATCATGTTCTTTGCCCCCTTGTCTGCCTGATGAACACCTATTCATCCTTCAAAACCTGTTTCAATGCTACTTCATGAAGGTCCTTATGACATTGTACCTGACTCCCAGCAATGGATTACTCAAGGCTTAGTGCTTTCCAGCAGCACTTGCACGGGACTGTGATGGCTTGCACATGTGACCACTTCCCTACTTAGCTGTGAATTCCTTTATAGCAGGGGTCCTGTCTGATTTATCTCAATTCCTGAGTACGTAACACAAGGCCTACCCCTGAGGAGACACCTACTGAACGATGAGTAAATAGATACAATATGATGAACAATTCACCGGATGGGAAGATTATCAAGAGTAATCCTGGTCCTCTTCCACAGTGGTTGTCTTTTGTAGCTGCTGGACTTCTGGCTCCTAGGTTCATTCAACTTTTTTGTTTTTGGTACCAGAAATTGAACTCAGGACCTTGTGCTTGCCAAGCAGGTGCTTGTGCCGCTGAGCTACATCCCCAGCCTGGCTCCTAAGTTCAGAACGGCCCAGTCTAAGGGATGTGTTCTACAACTAAGAAACAAAATGAGCCTTCAAAATGAGAGTTCAAAATGAGCCTTCAAAATGAGAGTTGTAGGAGAACTCTCAGCTGCAAAAGTTCATACCTCATCTTTCCCTGTAAAGCTTTCAGCTACCAAGAGACCATCAGGATTAAGATCAAAAGCAGGATAGGACTCACGGTCCTATCATTAGAGAGAAAAGAATAGGATACAATAAAATTGGGGGCCCCATAGACCTCAAATGTAGATGTGGTTCTGACACTTACTGGCTGTATGACCATAGGTAAGTCCCACGAGGATAGTAAAAACTACCATGTGGGATGATTGTTCCTCTATGTTCCTGTGTTGATTTAAGGCCTATTTATTTTTTGAACTGCAGTCACACCTTGGTACTCGACTGCTTCAAAACTTGTTACTTGACCCATTTTGATTTGAAAATTTTGTCCCGGTACTTGTTGCTTGTTTGTTACTCAGTGAACAAGCTGGAGCTTGTTGGTGTTGATTGTCCTTGACTTAATTACCCTTTCCAGCCAAAACAGTTTGTTTGGTACTCATAGTTTTGGTACTCAGCATGCCTCCTGGAACCAGTTAATGACATGTACCAAAGTACCATTGTATCCTTCACTCTGTCATACCCATGATGGGTTAGGTTGCTCTGATGGGAGAGGGGAGATTTCAAACGAGTAGAGCAAGACTTCAGAGTAACAGTCTGTCCCAACCATCGGCTCATCTCCTAATTTCATAACTGTCACACTTAGGACTTCATAAGGGCTGCTTCCTCCTTCTCTTCCACCCCATTATCCTTTCTCTTTTCTTTCTTTTTTTTCCTCTCCTTTTATCTGGCACTAACTCGCTTACTCATAGCTCCACTTTATAGCTTTGCAAGGGACTTTCATATCTATCTTCCTTCTCTGCCAATGCTTATCTCATTCTCAAACTTACTGTCTCACAGTAAGATTTCTCAAAGATTCCTTGCCAGTCAATACTCCAGCAGGTGCACCTCCAATACTGCCTCTCTCTCTCTCTCTCTCTCTCTCTCTCTCTCATAAACAAATGTGAACTTCTGTGGTGAACCCGACCTTTAGTAATTTCTGGGTGACCAAAGGTCATGACAAATGTCTTTAGGATTAGGACTCACTGTGGTCAAGTGTCTGTACCTAGAGTGGCAGTCATTGTGCTGAGGATAAGAGATATGACACATATTCAGGCAATTCTTCTGCCAATAACATTATGGCTGATTTAAAGTTTGACTATGTAAAGGCAGAAGAATATGCAAGAAGATCTTTCTCTCTCTGAGGACCATTTCTTCCCTCCCTTCCTTCCTTTTATCTTTCTTTTTTAACTGCTGACCTAACATCTCTATGACTACCTTTTTTTAAAAAATTAAGTTTATTGGTAAGATGTAGATATGCATAATGATCACATTCATTATATGAAATTTGTACCTGTACATGATATGTCTTAGTCCCTCTTTTTTTCCCATTCCCCTCCCCTCTCTTCAACCCCTCTTCAGTACCTTATTTATAAAGCTCTGTTTCCATTTTATCCTTTTTTTCTCACTTCTTTCTTTTCTCTTCCATACGCCCCCACCAATTCCCCTTTTCCTTTGAACAGTTACTTCTTATTTCACAATATATGTATTATACATTTTGGTTCCTATTTACACTTTCAGTTTCTCACACCAGAGAGACAATGTGATATTTACATATATGTGTCTGATTTATTTCATTTAAGATTTTGGTCTCAAGGTCCATCCATTTAGATATAAATGTCTCAAGTTTATCCTTTTTATGGCTGAGTAGTATTCTGTTGTTTAAAAAAAAACCCACATCTGTTTTATTCATTCATTGGTTGATTGGCACTTGGGTTTTTTCCAAGATTTAGCTACTTTGCCACTATAAACATAGGTGCTCATATATCGCTGTGGTGTGATGCTTTTAATTCTTTGGAGAAGATAGCTAGAAGGGGAATAGCTGGGTCAAATGGAACCTCTAGTCCTAATTTTTTGAGGTGCCTCCACACTGATTTCCACAGTGGTTGCATCAGTCTACACTCCTTCCAACAGAGAAGAAGTTTCCTTTTCTCCCACAACCCTTCCAGCACTTGTTATTGGTTGATTTGCTGATGATAGCCATCCTTTCTGAAGTGAGATGGAATCTTAGCGTTGCTTTAATTTGCATCTCTGAAATGATCAGTGATAGGCAGGCATGGTGGCGCATGCCTGTAATCCCAGCACTAGGGAGGCTGAGGCAGGAGGATCATTGTGAGTTTGAGGCCAGCCTGGGCTACAAAGTGAGCTCAAGGTCAGCCTGAACTGCACAGTGAGACCCTATCTCAAAGAAAAAAATGAAATAATCAGTGATGTTGGACATTTTTTCTTGTATTTATTTGCCATTTGTACTTCTTCTGGGAAGTACATGGCTACCTTTTCTTGTCCAAGCCCCTGCCATTGTTTGCCTGACAGGTCTCCCTTCATCCACCTTCACTCTGCAGCCTCCTCTGCAAGGTAGCCAGTAGGGATGTGATCTGTTTAAGGTGCAAATCAGATTTTATCATTCCCCTGCTGTATACCCAACCATGGTACCCTATTGCAATCCTCACCTTACCTCTCAAAGCCCTGCAGAATTTGGCTCTTGTTTTCTTCCCTGACTTCAATTTCTGTCACTAAAATTCTACATCCAGATATTCATGCTGCTGGCTATTTACTGTCATTCAGATCTCTTCTTAAAATTCAACTCCTCAGAGAGACCCACTGTGGCCATCCTCTTATTTGCCCTATGCAATCACTCTCTCATCCTGTTTTAAAATATTCCCCTTCCCGCTTTTCAGTTACACCTGAAGTTTCCTTATTTCTTTACTTACTTCTTGATGGTCCGTTCCTATTAGGATTTCAACACCAGGAGAACATTATCTGTCTAGATCGCAGCTATATCCTTAGCATTTCATGCTCAGTAGGCACCTGTGCTTTATAAATATTTGTTGAATGGACTTATAAACTGCTTCATCATTTTAAAAAGTGCTTTCATATGCATTGATTTCATATAAAGCCTGTGAGGTCAGGATTATTACTTTCCTAGTCTCATGGATGCAGAAACTGAGGATCAAGAGGTTCTGGGTGATGTCCAATGTCACAAAAGCAGTAGAAAGCAGAGGAAGGCATACCTGAACCTGGACTCTCCAGTTCTAAATACTGTACTGCTGTTTCCACCAACACACCTTGCTTGTAGCCTGGTCGGTGCTATACCAAGGATAGTATGCCCCAAGCAGATGATGAGTGATTCGTTGACAGTCTTTGCTGTCAGTTCTTGGAACCAACTGCAGAGAGTCTCCAGTCCCCTACCTTGTGGGACACTCTTCATTCCAAGAGAGTAAAGTGAGCCAGAGGAATCAGACAGTGGGAGAGGAAGAAGGAGTATGGAGCAAGCGGTTTGAAGTCCGAGATTCTACGCTCCAGTTTGTTCCTTACTTCCTTTTCTTTTTTCTGTGGGCTTTAAAATTATCCTTCTATAAAACAGATGCATTGAACTTGCTGACTTTAAAGATCCCTTTCAGTTCTGACATTGCACCTGGGCAATATTGTGATTTCTCTGTTTCCTTTGCAGTGCTTCCCGTTGCGGCAAGTGAGGAAGAATGCTGGTAAGTGCGAACGGCACACAGTGCAACTGTGCCTTCCCAAGGTCCTTACAGACCAGCTGACCAGATCCCTGGGCAGTGAAGCCCGTGGCTGAGACACGAAGCTGAAGACATCCTCTCTGTCTCCCTCCATTGGACATTTCCTGGCCTCTTCAGGCCCTGCCTTTGGTTAGGGCCAGAGCCTCTTTATTCCTGACCGAAGTTTTGTTCTTGTCAGAGAGCCAGGGGAGGATTTCCCTCCAGAGCTATCAGCAAATCCCAGCCCCTCCACACTTCCCTTGTTCTCAAATGTCTTCTTTCCACTGAGAAGTGTATTAGGGCTGGCGGATCCTCAGGAAGGAGGAACAGGTAAGTGAAGCAGGGAGGCAGATATTTGGCCTCTGGGGTTGGGTGTCTGTGAGATTCCCAGCTCATGCTTTAGCTGGAAGGCTTCCAAGAGGAGGTAGGCTTTCGGGCTTATTCAGCTAAGGGGACAGATAGCCTGGAGGTTAAAACATTCTCTGAATTTGCTTTCTAACAAATTTCTCCTAGCCTGATGGCTTCTCTCCCTTCTCCCTCTGCTGTCCTTCGTGGGTGTGGATGAGTTAGCGGCAGGCACTCTCTGAGCAGCTTCCCTCTGTGGAGGACACAGCTGTCTAGTGAGGGATGACTGCTTTGGAAGGAAGAGAAAGATGGATACTAGCCTGGAAAGAGTTTGCTCCCAGGGCCAGAACTCATGGCATAGGCCAGGCTTTGCTGAGGTCAGTGAGGCCATCCTCCTGGCTCCCGCCTGACCTCAGCTGTTCCCATCGGCTCCAGTTTTTCATCGAGATGAGCTCACAACTTTAACCAGCCTAGCTCTCAGGTGGTATCTAGGGTTTGGGGTCACTGAACAGAAGCACAAATTAAGTGGCGTCCTAAGGGTTTGGGCGAGGAATCTTGGGAAGGTGTCGGAAGAGAGCACAAGAGCCCTTGTTTCTGAGGACCCCACAAAGTAACTGGAGCTGGTTTGGGCACAGACTTACTAGGAAGCAGATGGAGGATCTGGGGACCTTTCAAGGACTTTTCCACCTTATGACCCTGAGTTCTTGGGTGGTGTTTGCTAAGAAAAAAACACACTGGCAGAGCAAGGTGTTTATTTGCATTGCCATGACAGCAGCTGAGAGGGGACCTATTTTGAACTAGGAACATGGCTTTGATCAGCATACGCATACGGCATACATCTGCTTCTCCAAGCACCGCCCCCAGCTCCCCCTTGCCATTCCAGGAGTTCTTGCGGAGCACAGTTCCTGCTTTGCACCACAGATCTCTGGGGGCGCAAAGTCTGGGCACTGCACATAGTAGGGGAAGGACACACTTCTCCATTTCAGAGACACCAGCTGCAAAGTCTAAAACGAAACCCTGAGGCCTCGAAATAGTGACCCCCCCAGAGGAATGCAGTCACAGCTGCCAAGCTGCTCATTAGAGCGTCTGTGCCAGGCTGAGGCTCTCGTGTTGAGAGCTGGGAGGGTGGGCATTGAGAGCCTGAGTGTCTGTGGAGTATCTTTTCAGCACGGTGAGGTCAGGAAAAGAGGTTGCCACCTACAGTGCTGATATGAGCCTGGTCTTCTCGCTCCTTCTTTATGTTCAAGTTGAAAAATATCTATTTAAGGGCAACCGTGAGCACATTGTCTCCGGCTGACTCAAGGTCACCCCAACAGAAATGAGTTTATTTCGATGCAGCAGTGTTAGCAACACAGCACTGAGAATCACAGCACCCAGATTTTAGCCCCAATTTCATTACACTTTTACTGCTCAAGCCCCCCAGCAAGTCATTTCATTTCTCTAGGCTAGTGTTCAGGTCCATAGGGCTTACTGTGGGGGACTCTTTTGTGGCGCCTAAGAAATAGTACATTAAAAAAACATCAAAATGCTAAACAAATGTGCCTGTTTCTGAGATTTCACTCAGGGAATAAGCAGAATTCTTATTTATTTATTTAATACATAATGCCTTCATATGTTTCAAAATTTAAGAGGTACAAAAATAAGCTCTTATTCCTAACCACTCATCAATCTCTTAGAGGTAACCAATGTTACCCGCTTCTTGGGTCCTTGATGAGTTTAGAAGTGCACTGTGTAGGACAGGATTGCAGTGGGAGCTACCGCTGCCCGGCTGGGGTCGGGGTCGGGGAGGAGAGCATGCGGAAAAGCAATGGAGTGGAATTGTGTGACAGGAAGGGTGGGGCATAGAATGAACATTTGTTTGAAATCCAGTTTTGACTGCCATTCACAGTCATATGATGCTAAATTAGGGCCTTCCCTTTTCTGTACCTCAGTGTTGCCATCTGCACAGTGAGCCTGTTGTGTTCTCACGTGCCATGCTGTCATGTGCCAGTAAAGCAGAATGGAAATGGTGAAGAAGAGGACCACCTAGGAACCTTTTAGAGACAAAAAAACCAAGACACGGACGGAGACCTGGAAGTTGCACATAATTTGTGTATGTGATCTCCCTATTGGGAGGAGTAAGTGAAAGACTTCTCTAATATGGTACTACTTTTGATCTTGTGGTCCCATGAACACAAGAAACCATGGCAAGCATTGCACGGAATCCTTTGGCACTGTCTTATGGGACAGTATGAGAAGCATCCAGCTGGCCCCAGCTTATGCGGTGTTGTCCAGGCCTAGGAGGATGATCTGGATGTCTTTTGAGGACCCCATTACAGTCCATTTGAGAATCCACTAGCCCAGTATTTTCCAAACTTCACTGATTTGTGAACCAACTTCAGATTGGGTGTGTATGTGTGTGTGTGTGTGTGTGTGTGTGGTGCTGGAGATGAAATTCAGGGATTCATACATACTAAGCAAGGGGCTGGGGATTTAGCTCAGCGGCAAAAGCGCCTGCCTGGCAAGCGCAAGGTCGTGAGTTCAGTTCCTGGTACCGGAGAAAAACCAAAAAAAAAAAAATCTAATTGCAGCCACAATTCAGGTCCAGACTATTCACATAGATAATGTACACTTGATAGCCACCATTTCTCCTGTTTTGTGAATGAAACCCA